ATTATTAATATTTTATAATTAAAAAATTTATCACGAAATATTTCGAAACGATATTTTATTTGACTCCGAACACAATTTTTAGAGTCGAAATAAATAAATAATTCAAAAAAAAAAAATAATAATAATAAAAAATACCTAATAAAATCAAACCGCACCTAAGAAAAATTTATTAATAATAATAATAATGATAATGATAATAATAAAAATCAATATACAATTTCAATTAATTAATTAATTAATTTTTTTTTAAATTGTAAATTTTAACGACTACTTGATTAATTAACTTTTTTTTTTTTTTTTTTTTTTTTTTTTTAAAAAATTTATCGACAAAAGGATGTTTCAGTATCTGTTGAAATACCTACAAGAAAAAATAATAATAATAATAATAATAATCACCGCAATCATCATTATCATCGCAATGGAAATAATAATAATATCACGCTATAAACTCATTGAACGCTAACAACTTATCGATCCTTCTTCTCCGTGTATTATCAATCACATTTGTTTAAATAAATAAATAAATAAATAAAATGTTTAGTGTTTGTTTATTTATTTATTAACATAAACCGATTGGTATTTCACATTAATTATACTCATTAGTTTTATTTTATTCGTTATTATTATTATTATTATTATTATTATTATTATTATTATTATTATTAAATTTGCAATAAAAACACTTAAGAAGCATTTATACATGAGCCTTTTGTAATTTTATTTCTTTCTCTCTCTCTCTCTCTCTCTCTCTTTCTCTTTCTTTTAAATTATTTTTTATTCTTAATAATATAATATAACTAATTGTTTTATTTTGTCCTTTTTTTTTTTTAAATAATTGAGCGAGATCAGTGCACAGTTTCAAACGAGAGACAAAAAAAAAAAAAATTAAATCAACTGATCACAATCAAAGCAAAATAATAAAAAAAAAAAATTGTTAGCATTTAAAAAAGGCAAACAAACAAAAAAAAAGAGAAACAAACAAAAAACAGGTAGTATCATCATCACTATAATAAAACGTATTTTCTTTCCTTTTCTTTCAAATAATTGGCATTCGACATTTTTTTTTGAAACATCCTCCTCTCTCTCTCTCTCTCTCTCTCACTCACTCACTATTCTACCTTCCTTTTAATTATCTAATTTTTTTTATTAATTTCTTTTCCTCTCTCATTCTCTTGTTATTTATTTATTTTTCTCTTCTTTCATTTTCATAAAAAATTATTAAAATCCTTGAAAAAAATAAAATTAAAAAATAATTTTTAATAAATTTCAACAATTTTTTTTTTTTTTTTTAAAACAGTTTCATCAAGTACGTTTATTTTTCTTCTTCTTCTTCCCCTCCTCCTCCTCCTCCTTCTCTTTCTTTTCCTAATGTATATAATTTTTTTTTAAAGTTTAAACTATTTCTAATTTTTTTTTTTACTTTTTTTATTTTATTAATTTTTTTTTTAATTTTCCTTCGTGAACGTTTTCTCTCTCTCTCTCTCTCCCTTTTTCCTTTATTATTATTATCATCATCATTTTTTTTTTTTTTTTGTTTAAATGTAGAAAAACCGTTGTGATCATTTCAAAAATGTATGAGAAAAAAAAAAAAAAAGAAAAGAAAGTAATAATAATAATAATAATAAAAAATAAATAAATTTATAGCAGTATTCCTAAAGCAAAATTTTTTTTTTTTTTTTTTTTTTTTTTTTTTCTTCCGGTTATGAAATATTAACTAATAAAAATAAATTCATTTTATAAAGGGGAGCAGCAGCAGCAGCATTTAAGTGACACAAAAGACAAAAGATAAAAACAGTCAATTAAAATTTTTACGTTGTAGTATATAACAGTATTAAGAATAAAAAAAAAAAAAAAAAAAAAAAGAAAAAAAGAAAAAAAGAAAAAAGAAAAAAAAAAACTTTTCGACGACCGTGTGAATCAGCCGAGAGATGGAAAATCGTGTTCGTCGTCTACTTTTGGAGCAATTTGATTGTTTCCACGGTAATCGCGATCTCGGCCACCCTAAATAATAATAATAATAAAATCACAAAATTAGACACACTAGAGTCTTTGACAGAAAAAAAAAAAACTAAAAAATTAAAATAAAACTTACGCCGTACTCATCTCCTCTATGACCACCTCGTCGAGGACCATCCCTCTGTCGAGTCCTATTATCTGTAAATGAAAACAAATTTCATTTTTTTCCGTCCATGTTTTTGTTTTTTTTTTTGTTTGTTTGTTTGTTTGTTTCACTGGAAAAAATTTATTTTTACTCACTAGCTGAAGCCGAATTTAAACCTCCCGAACGAGGAATTCGTCCGCCGCGACCTCCCCGAGGTCCACGACGGGAGTCTGAAAACGTGATGTCGATATCTAACAAAAGACGTTGTTTACCAGCTCTTTGTGGGCACTCGGCCTGATCTAATTCCTGGATTTACAATAATTACACTTCATCAATAAATGCATTTCAAATGGGAAAACACATACACATTTACCAAACAAACCTCTTCCTCTTCGTGATTAACCGAATCCTTCTTCTTTTTAATTTCGTACATGTTTTTCCATTGAGTCAAATCCTCGCCTTCTCCAGCTTTTCGAATATTGTATTGTGGAAGCTCTCTTTTACCTCTCAATGCCCGGTATTCGTCCAAAGTAAGTTCCTTAGGCTCTTCTTCAACTTGAACTGGTTCGCCGCTATCGGTAAGATTTTTTTCACCATCCCTATCAAAATAATTTTAAAAAAAAAAAAATTTACTCACGTTAAATCATATTTCAAACGATAAACTATATTTATTATAATTAAAAAATTATTGTCTTCAACCTGGGTAATGTTGACTTTTTATTCAAAAATTTAAAAAAAACCAACGACCATTGGATGAAAATTTTTTTTAATATCGGCCATGTTTTGACTCAAAATAATATGAGAAAAAAATTATCAAGAGCTTCGATCAAGGCCTTTTAAAATTTAAATAATAAAATTTACTTTAAAAAAAAAAAGAAAAACTCACTTGGCATTATTTTCACCAACGTCGTTATTTCCAGGTTTTCCTTCTGACCATTCTGCGTTTTCTTCTGATGCGTTAGTCGAATTTAAGTTAACAGCCCTGGAAATAAATAAATAAAAAGAAAAACCCTAATAAAAAAATTTAAAAACAAATTGTACCCATACAACAAAGAAACAACAACAATATTAAAACTTGATTCGTTCTTAAATTCCCGTTTAAAAAAAAAGTTAAGAAACCATTAAAAAAAGAAAAGAAGAGAAGAGAAGGGAAGGAAAAAAAAGGGAAAACATTTGGTGAAAACCGTTAAAGGTATAAGCAAAGCAAAAGCAAAAGCAAAAAACGCTAAATAATTTATCATAAACACTTACTCCAAATCATCTTTATGGTTTCCCCAGTTATGAGCTCCTCCTCCTTCCCTTTTTTCCATTGCTTTCACTCCACTGGAAAAATTACATTTTCTTTATTTAAATTGTTTGTTTTTTTTTTCTTTTTGGTTTCCAAAAAAATTCTCTTTTTTCTTCATTAAATGTGAATTAGAGAAAATTATAATAACAATTATTCAAAAAATTACTCATAACTTTCCCCATATCAACGATTGAAGAAAAAAAAAAACAAAAAACAAATTTATAATAATAATATAATAATACTAATAATTTTTTCTTTTCTTTTTTTTTTTTGTATAAAAATAATTTTTCTAAATTAAGAAATACAATGTAAAAAAAAAAAAAGCAAAAGAAAGAAAGGAGGAGACAAAACCGACCGAAATTTCCTCATCAATTAAAATTTCCCCCATTAACATGTATCAACACAAATCACAATTAATGTTACACACACACAAAAAAAACAAACAACAGCAATTTTCCTTTCTTTTTAATCGTGACTTGAATGGAAAATTGCCCAGCCGTAAATTTGTCAATTTAAAAGGATAGTTTGATAAGCCCTTTCATACAATTCATTTAAAATAAAATTTTTAGGTATATTTCACACAGGTTGTCGAGATGACAACCTCACGAACATTCGTTTACCCATTTAAAACAAAGGCAAATAATGCATTTTATTGATATTTAAATATATGAAACCTTTACCGTGTGAAACTGACCTGATGCAAGTACCTGATGCAAAGGAAAATAGGGATCACGGTTACTGTGAAAAAATTTTTTTAGTATTTGTCTTATCAAACTACCTTTTGAGCATTAGTAAAAAGAAAAAAAAAGCTGTAGCATATTACTCTTTAGCAATACTTAAAAAATCCATTCACTTTAAATATACGTTGGCAGTTGGCTACCTTAAAAGTTTTTTCTTTAATCAATCAATCAATCAATCGTTTTTATTATTGTTAATCTGACATTAAATAACTCAAACAATAAAAAAAAAATTTCCATTCGTTTTTTCAAAACGATTTAATAATTCAAAAAATAATTTTTTAAATAAAATAAAAAGAGTTTGTAATATAAAATAACTTTATATTATAACAACCGGAAGGTATCAAACACGGTGTGCAAGTTGAAAAAAAAAAAAAAAAATTAATGAGCTTACCCATTATATTTAGTTCATTTTAAGCAGATTAATACTTTCAAAAGAGAGAGAGAGAAAGAGAGAGAGAGAGAGAAAGAGAGAGAGAGAGAGAGAAAATTAAAGGTGTTTCCAACTTGTAATCAAAGTAATATCATTTTTTTTTAAATGTGAAAATTTAATTTCACAATCCAAAAAAAAAAAAAAATGATTAATGGAGGGAAATTAAAACTATTTTAGAGAAAGTTTTTTTTTTAAAAAAATTAACTTTAAAAAAAAGAAAAAAATTACAATAAAATAACGAAAAATTTGGAACCGCCAGAAAATTTGTAATTTGAAACCGAAAAAAAAAGAAAGAAAGAAAGAAAGAAAGAAAGAAAGAAAGAAGGAAAAAAAGAAAAGAATTTTTTAAAATTTAAAAATAAAAAAAAATCAATGTGTTTGCTGACTGTGTGATGGGAAAATGAGTTGTTTTTTTTTTTAAATTTAAAATTTTTTAAAAATACATTCATAATATTAAATAAAAACCTAATAATTTATTAGTATTTGGGACAAACGAAAAAATTGTAAAAATTATTTGGTAATTAGGGCGTTTTACATCAACGCTTGACTAACTGCCAACTTATATTAAAGTGTCGCCACCTTCACGGAAATAGTTTAATTATATATATATATATATATAGTTAACTCACGTCTTGTCTGATCCAGATTTTCTATCAAATTCTCTTTTGCCTCTGCCATCGAAATTTCTTCCTGGACCGCCTCCTCTGCCCCCAATTTTAGTTCGTCCCATAAGAGGTCCTGATCTTCGTTCGAGCCTACTTTCACCATTTTCAGGTCCCTCTCGAGGGAAATCGGTTCTCTCCTGAAAATCACGGCGCTCTCGATTTTCTCTTCTTGGCCGGATTTCACCATCACCCCCCTGTCTGTCTCGGTCTCCTCGAAACGGCCTATTATCTCCATCCCTTCTTGGACCCCGCCGTCCTTCTTCGTTGCGAGGTCCTCGAGGACCATTTTCATTTTCTGGTCCTTTGGGTGGCCTTTCCCCATTACGATTTCTTGAAACATCACCATTTCTAAAGAGCATCAAGGTACGGAAAAAACAAATTTTTTTTTTTACAAAAGTTAAAATTAGCTTTTATAATTTTTTTAAAATTACCTTTCGCCAACGCCTTTATCTTCTCTCGGCCTACGAGTATTTGTTCTTTCTGGCCCTTGAGGCTCTCCGGATGCAAATTTCACCGATCGTACCTGACCTTCGCCAAAACCCGGTTGCTGACGTTCTCCCTGAGGTCTGTTGTCGTTTGGTTTTCGCCCAGTGATTGACTTATTGTTCTTCAAAGCGCCATCTTAAACATCAAAACAACATACCTAAAAATTTCAAGACAACTCAGCGGTTACAAGAATGCCTTCAGTGGGAAGTTCACCGGTTTCCTGAATAATTTATTCACAATATTTTCATTTTTTACTTGACCAACTTTTCCGACACACTTTTTTTTGATCGCCTTTGTCTTGCTTTATCAGTTTAAATTTTTTTTTAATTTCATCCAAAAACAAAAAACAAAAAAAAACTATCATTTAAAATAGCATATGAGATCTTTTAAATTAAAAAAAAAATAGTAATAGTAATAAATGTCAAATCAAATGAAGCAGAAAAATTTTTTCAAATGAAATAGTCAGGCCTAAATTTATTTATAATTTAATATAAATAAAAAAAAATAATAGGCCATTCTTTGCTTTTAAAATTATTTGAACACCTTTAGATAATTCTCATGTACTATTACTGAAAAAAGGAAACCTTAAAATATAAAATCATTGTGAAGAATCACACTGAAGGCCTTATATACACACCTCATTAAATTTAAGATTTATGAAGTGACAACAAAAAGTGTACAATTAATTACTTAGAGTAATGCTGTACACTTATTATAAAATTAAAAAAATTTTCAAAAAAAAATTAGAACTTTAACAATAATCATGAAAACCCTAACATGAGGGTTTTTTTTTTTTTTTCTAACAACTAAATAATTATAAAACTTAAACTATTAAAACAATATATGCCATATAAAAAAAAAAAAAAAAATACAATACAATACAATACAATTCTAATTACTAAATAATAATAATAAGAATAAAAAAACTAGGCAATTACTTAAAAAGTAATTTTTTTGCCCTGATTTGCAAATAGGTTTAACTAAAACAAAGGGACAATTATACAATCGGAATAAAAACTTGCCATCTTTTTTTTTTTTTTTTTTTTTTTTACAAATGAATTACCTTATTCTCTACTATTATAGTCAATATGTAGATATTTACATATATGAATTTAAATATTAAAATATTATGGAATAGACTGTACATTATACACTGTGAGGAATTTTTTTAAAAATTTCATCACACTATAATTTTTTAAACAAGAAATTTTAAATTTAAGCTTTTACAAAGAAAAATAAATAAACAAACACAAAACCATGTGTCGTTTTAAAATTATGGGAAATAACTAAGAAATTAAGCAAGTGTAAAAATTAATATCACTATGAATAAAATTCTGTTAAATTTTACTATTAATAATTAAATGTACAAAAACTCAATAACTCTAAATTAATAAAAATAAAAAAAAAAAAAAATTGTAGTTAATATTAATTTATAATACACAATTTATTATTACAACATATTAATTATAAATCGAGAAACCCTATATTAATAAAATTATAATTTTAATTAATTAATATTTTTCAAAATCAATGATAATCAGTATCTGAAAATTTAAGCATTATCAATGCAAATTACCTAAATATATAAAATTTTATATTTTTTAATGTTTGCCCGGTCAATGCGGACAAGGTTAAACTTAGTCGGTAAATACAATAAACTCACCTTGGGGTTTGGGTTTAATAACAGTCACGGCATCATTTGCTTTAACATTTTGAGTTTCTTTTATGCCTTGAGCTTTCCTCGTCGTTGGTAATGTTGTTTTCCCTTTTAAATTTTGTTTTTCCTTATTTTCTTTTGATTCTCCCGAAGCATTTTTTAACGTTTTTTTCTTAGTTTTTTCGGCCTCGGCGTTTTTAATTATATCGTACGGATCCTCTTCATGCGAGCTCTCTTCCAAAAATAGGGCATAACGATTGGCTACCCCTATTACGTACTCTTGTTCCATGATATATTTTTCCAACTAATAACGTTGGATGTCTAAGATATTTATGGCTACCTTTAGCCTTAAAACAACGATCCACCATTAAAGCTATATAAAACTGCAAAATGGCGTCCTCCTTTCATCAGAACTAGAAAGTGACTATTGCCAGGTTGCAAAAAAGGAAATTGAAAATTTCAACCTTTGAATTTTTATTTTCATTTATAATTTTTTTTTCGCTAATATAAATCTTATTAAAATTTAATAAAAAACGTTTTTAAAATGAATAATTAATAATTGTTTAAATAAAAACTCCGGTATTTGCAATACAAATATATCCAATTGCCACAAAAAATTAATCTCCTACTTCCTTTCGTCCTTTGAATTTCTGAAGGCTTTAATAATTTGGCTCGAAAAAAAAGAGTTGAGTGTAATGCATTTTTAAAATGTTATTTAAAAATGTTATTTAACAATGTTGTTTATTTTGAAATTTTTTTTTTACCTGTTTAACGTTTCAAAAATTTGATTTTATTAAGTGTTTTTATTTTTCTTGAAATGCAATTTGCGATTATCTTATTTACCACTGTAGAAAATTTTGAGTTTAATTAAACCTAACCAAATTTTAAAGCCATTAAACATCCGCGGGAAAATAGTAGTGACAATTATTAGCTTTTAAAGAATTACCTACACTTGAAACTTAAAATATCAGTTAAAAATGAAAACGGGTAGCGTAATTTTACGAGCAACGCGAGTTTACACTGTGGATAATTCATTTAAATGTGACAAATCATTATCTACTACAGATAATGAACATTCTAATGTAAAAGAATGCCGGCGAGGTAGACCGCGAGCTGACGCTGTCACCACTATGATTCAACAAGGTAGTTCATCCCCGAGTGCTATTAAATGTAGATATTGCATGAGAGTATTTCCCAGAGAAAAATCTTTACAAACTCATGTCAGAACTCACACAGGTAATTTTTCATATAAAAGTAAACAAGAAGAGAGTTTTCTAAAAAGAATCAGGTAAAAAAGTTTGTTTTTATACATAGGTGAGAAGCCTTATATCTGTGACTATCCAGGATGTCCAAGGGCATTTACTCAAAGTGGCCATTTAAAAACACATCAGCGTCTTCACACTGGAGAAAAACCATTTAAATGTCCTGTTATTGGATGTGAAGCTAGATTTAAACATGCAAACAGACACTGTACAGTCCATCCAACTGCAACATTAGTTAGAGAAACTGATAGCTCATTAGGTTTTAATGGTAGTGGTATAATCGAAAGCCCTGTTCAAAGTGCTGAAGTGATTCGTTGGTTGGAAAGGTAAATTCAAAAATAAATTATACATTAATCAGAATTCATTTTGATTAGTTATTAATACTTAGTTTTCACATACAATTAATGAAACATGGGCTTTTTTAATATCTTTAGATATAAGAAAGAAAGAATGATAACACCCTACAGTAAAAAAGGAGAAAAGAAATCAAGGAATTCATCATTGTCTGAAGATTTGGAAAATACAGAAAGTCACTGCAAAACAAAAGTATGCAAAGAATTACTCGAAGATATTAATTCGGTTAAAGAAAGTTTTAAAAATTTAAGTCCGAGAAAAAAATTAGGTGATATTGTCAATAATACTGTTATGGTTGATGATGAAATATGTAGAAATTATGTTGAAATAGTAAGAAACCCAAAACCAGGATGTTCAAAAGATTTAGATAGAGATGAACTTAAAAGTCTTAAAATTAAACCCATTTCGCTGCCATTATCAATTAATGACACAGAAATCACAAAATTAGAACCAGTGAAGAAACGTTGGCTGCGAGAAGCCTACCAAGATTCATCCAAATGGGAATACAACTTCATACAACCAATTAACTGGGAGGAAGAAAATTCTGAAGGAACAGAGACAAAAGTACTGTCATATGAAAATTTCAATTCAGTTCAGAAAAGTAATATATCAGTTAAAAATTGCATACCAAAAACTCAGTTTACAATTAATTCCAATGCCGCTAAGATAAAATTAAATGGTATCTCGATAAAAAAACCTGAAAATTTGAGCATTGGTAATGTCTGCGAGGAAAAAAAAGGATTTAATAAAATAATAAAATTGAAAAACAATATGGAAACTGTAAAAATTTTTACAGATCCTCAAGACATAAATAGTGTTCATGATAATTATGCTAATGATGGTGACCACAGTGTTAGATTATTACATGAAGAAGGTCAACAGTTAAACAAAACTAGGCCAACTGTATTGATGCATTCTGGTCAGTGTAAAAGTGAATCAGACATAACAAATATTAATGATAAATATTTATCACAAAACCAAGTATCAGATAATAACAATTTTAAAGAATTTGCCGATTTGAATAATAGCAATAATAGTGAGTTAATTAATTTAAATAATAATAATAATAATAATAAAAAGCGTAAAATTGTTTTTTCTAATGTTTCCGGAGTGAAAAACCAAAAAATAGCTGAAGATTCCGATATTTCTACTGCTTTGTTACTCATGGAATTATCAAAATATCCTTCTCCCACGAGTAAAATGCAAATATGATTAAAAATATATATATGTATGTAACCATAGTTATTGTACAAAGTTTACTGTTGGCGTGTTACATAAGAATTGTGATATTTATTAAGTTTTAAGAATTTTTAATAAGAAAAAGAAGTGCCTATTCAGTAAATATTATTTAAAAACGATGGTGAAAAGGGCATTATATAAAATACAATGGGACCAAATAGTTATTAAAATTAAATTATTTAATCTTAATAACTTTTTTCTATTTGAATTTTACTACACTTGGTATACTTTCTTCTTTAAACATTCCAAAAAAATTCTTTTTTCACTCATGTATAATTTATTTAAATTATAAAAATCAAAATTTCTTACTTTTCTGTCTTTTAACGAATGCAAAATTTAATAATAAAAATTTTTTTTACTTTCGAACAATTATTGTATTTGTGAAATAAAAAAAAAAAAATTTTTATTATTAAATTTGTGTCGAGAATTGTAAATTTTTTTTAAAAAAAACTTTTAATTAGTATTTTTTTTGTTGTTGTTAAAATATTAATTAACAGTAAGAAAAAGAAAAGAAAATGTTGGAAAATAATTTTTATCTTTATGTAAAATATTCATTCATTCATGTTTTTTTTTATTTTAATTTTTTTTCGAACATGAAATGTTTTTGAATAATTTTGTTAAAATTCACAGTAAAAAAATTGACATTAAATTGAAATTTATTTAAAATTCGCAGAACTTTTTTTTTTTTTTGTTATGATTTTTTAAATGTCAAATATGTTTGATACTATTATTAATGACGGACGGGATTATTATTATTGGTTGTCAAGTTATTATTATTATTTTGTTGTTTTAATTAATTAATTAATTTTCTGTTTTATTTTAATATGTAAAAAAAAATTCTTTTTACCATCATCACTATTTATTTTCAATTTTTTTTTTTTTTTTTTTCACAGAAAAGAAAAACATTTTTTGTAAATTTTGCTTTATTGTATTTTTAGTTAATGACTTATAAAAAAAAAATTTTTTTTTTTTTTTTTATATATATTAATTATAAAAACTTGTTATTTACTTTAATAAGTGTGCTATTAGTTGATTATTAATTAGGTGTATTTAATTATTATTATTATTATTAGGTTATTGAAAATATTTTATGTTAAGAGTTAAACACGGTATAAATAAAAAACCGGTGGGCCTTAAATAATAAAACAAAATTTTTTCTTATTTTTTTTTTTTGTTTTCTCTTTTTTTTTTTTTTAAATAAGTTAAACATAATTATTAATTATTTAACTGTTTAATTATGTGCTGTTAAATTTTTACAACTATTTGTATTGTTTTGATAGAAAAAGTTTGCAAAATTAAATAATGTTTAAATTCTAAACATAAAAATTTTAAATTATTATTATTATTATGTTGAAAATTATCAATACTTCAACGTACTATTGTAAACTTTTTTTTTTTTTTTTTTTTGTTTATAAATTATTTAAGGTTTTAGTTTTTCCCTTAGAAACTTTTATTGCTTTCCCCTCCCCCCAGTATTAGACTTTTATTTGCACAAAAGGTGTATATACATTATTAGTTTGATTTATGTTTGAATTTGTTACACAGCTATTTATACAAAAAAAAATTAAAGCTGTTATTTATATATATATATATATATTAAATAATTATTATTTAAAAATTAAAAATGAATTTTTATTAAATTTTATTTTACCTAATTATTTTAACACTATTAATCCAAACTATTTTTAATTTTTATTAAAATTTGATACATTTTAAGTAGGTGTTATAATGTTTTGGCGCCAAAATTTTTATGTAAAAGGAGGTTAACGATTTTAAGGAATAATTTTAAAACCTTTTTTAAAAGTTGATGGTTTTATTAGAGTATTTAATTTAGGCTTAAATTTTTAGGTTTATCGTTTTAAATCACAAAATAATATTTAAACGACGGAAATGAGTTTATTTTTCACATATTATTTTATAGTTCTTTGTTTTTATGAAATGAAACGGATTTTTTATCTCTAAGCGATAGTTTCACCAATCACCATGTAAAGCGCTAATGTCTGGTATTTCATTTGTTCGAAAGCAGGGAAATTTTATCGTATGATGTCACTTATAAAGCGGCTGCCATTTTCGTATGAAAATGTTGCACGAACTAAATTTTCTGGTTCTGTTAAATAAAAGAAATCATTTATGGATATTTTGATTTTCGTTGGTTTACATGAATTTTAAAAGGCCTCGTCTTCAAGAATTGTAATATCAAAGTAATTTTACTATTTTTAATACATATATTTACTTTTTTATCGAGCAATACATATAAGAATTGGCGTCAGTGTATATTTATTGTTTTCAACTGCCATTTATTTTCTTTTTCAATGTGCTTCAAGTGATATACTTATCGAATTAATAATTTTTATTACGTGGATCTTAATTTTTTTTTTAATTTTTATTTATTTTACTTTTTTTTTTTAGAATATTATTCAAAGGCGGATGACTTAAAAGTCATTCGACACCCTGGCGGGTTAAAAAAGTGATTAGTCTTGGCTTTTATCATGCCATCTTGCTCATCTAAATTTTCAATTCTACGAGATAATGATTGTAAAATTTTGATTGATAACTTGTGCAATTCAATAAAATCATCTGATTCAACAGCTTCAATACGTTTTTTGTACTCATCTGCACCAAATGGGTGTATAAAATATTTTCCATTTACAGTGACTCTATTAAAGATACCCTGGTGGTGTTTGGTAAAAGACAAAAATTTAATTTTTAATATTTATTTTTGGCAATCATGTTTAGTTTTCAATTCTAGTACTCCGCCTTGCATAAATCATAAATTCAATTGCAAGAAAATTAACTGTGATTCAAATTTTATTTTTCAATGTAAAGCAGCTATTTATTTAAGTATTATTTATCAAGTCTACATATTAAAAGTTTTAAAGCTTTTCTACAAGTTTGTGATTTATTTCAAACTTTACTATTTAGTGTTTAAAGTGTCAATCATTGTGTTACTTAATCAGTGCATATTTCAAATTAGTGCTTTTATAAAAAAGTCAAAATTTGTAACAAGTTGGATTTCTAATGGAATTAATTTTAATTGTGTCATGGAATTAGATGAATCAGAAATCAAAGTAAATTCTTTAGATAAAAATTTAATCAATGGGGAAAAAAGTCTACCAAAAGTTAAATCAGAATCATTGTCATCGGATAATGAAAAGCATGTCGATAATGGCTTAACTGTGATAAATGACAACCAAATTATGAAGGGATCCGTCTCTTCTCCAATTTCTAAAAATGTTTTACTAGAAAACAGTATTAATGTTGAAATTAAAGACATTAAAAAAGAAAATTTGAATGATTTATTACCGAATGGAAATTTGAATTCAAATTTACATATAAATGGCAATAATTGGAAAACTGAAAAATTACAAGATATAGTACAAGTAGAATGTAATAAAAAGTTAATTCTGTGCCTATAACAGAGACTCTAAGTCTTTATAATAACAATGAAGTTATTGAAAAAGTTATTGTTGAAGCAAAAGATCCCTCAAGGAATGAATCTAAAAATCATGAGGTTTGTAATATTATTATTGAACACAATCATTACATATAATTGAGTAAGACATTAATAATTAATTTGCTTTAAATTTGTTTTTTATTTTTATAAATTATTTTATTATTTAAGGTAAAATTTAAAGAGGAAATCAAAACTGAAAACATATCAATTGAATCTTGCAATGGGAAAAGTGAAGAAAAAGAACAAAATAGTACTAATAATTCATCTGTAAATAATGCTTTAATGTCATCACCATCATCTATAAATTCTTCTTCAACTCTATCAAAACCTGTGTCACATTCTCACCAATCATCATCATCATCTTCATCATCTTCATCTTCCAGACATAAATACAAAGACTCGAAAGATGAAAAAAGTAAAAGTTCATCTTCTTCATCGACGAGTAAATATAAGTAATTACCTATTTTATTTTTATTTGAAAATCATAAATAATATAAATTCTTTGAGAACAAAGTTGAATTTTTTAAAATGAAATTTTCAGGAGTAGATCTTCAAGCAGTCATAAAGATTCAAAATCTGATTCTAAAAGTAAATCTAGAAGTTGCCATCACAAACCAGATGAAAAATGTCATTGTAAATCTCATCATCATTCTCATCATTCGAAAAAATCAAAAAAATTCCAAAGTGTTAAGACTCAGTGTACAGCAGATGAAATAGCATTTGAACTCAGACGATCAGAAAGTGGACAAGCTAACGCTAATTTTACGAGAATACCTTGGGTACCTCATCCTCAAATAACGAATTTAAAATACGGTCGTTATTATAGAATAGAGGAAGATAGGAATGGTGGAGCTACGGTTTGTCATTTATTCATGGATGAAATTTGTCATTTACCTGAACCTCAATTGAAGGAATGCGCTATAGAATTCATAAAAGTAATTTTTCTCCATGTTTTTAATATTTATTTTATTAATTTTTATAAATAATTTTACAATTTTCAAAATCGACTATTTTATCATTTATTAGTTATCGTACAGCGAAGATGAAAATGAATGTGCCTATCACGTTATGGGCATTGTACACGGTGCAGCTTCCTATTTACCTGATCTTGTTGATTATATGGCCGATCATTATCCAACATTAATTGTCAAAACTGGTTCATTAGCTAGTAGGGACAACCATACAACAACTATGAGTCAATATAGAGATGAGGTTATTGAAAATTTTATTGGAAAAATACTTTGATTTTAAAAACTTTTTCCTATAATGAGTATTTTTGCTTTCAGGTTTACAAAACGTACTCTAATGGGACGTTCAGGTACGCTCCTTTAGATCAATTAAGTATTTGTGGAGTTTTAGGGGAAGAAGTTGGAGCGTATTTTCCTGATTTTGTTGCCAGGTTGGAACAAAGTCCTTTCATGAAACCAGTAAGCATGTTAATTTTTTCTCATAAACCCTCAAGTGCGTAAGTCGATGAAATTGAAAATTGACGATTTATTATTTTTTAAAGGTTATGCCCTGGAGTTCTTTATCCGTCGTTCAAACCGATAATCCCAGGGAGTCAAATGACGGTCCTATATTTTGGGTACGTCCCGGAGAACAAATGTTACCGGCTAATGAAGCTTTAAAAGAAAGCGCGAGGCCTAAAAAACGGTAAAGAAAAATTAATTATTAATTTATTAATAGTTATTATATTTTAATAAAGTTATGTAGAACTCACCGAAAATTTGTTTTTAAATTTTTGTAGAAGAAATAACGAGTTGGATAATTTAGCTTACATTGGAGGATCTCGATTTAGCGAAGCAAGGGAATCCCTTTTTATGGATAGAACTAAAGCTCACGCTGATCAAGTCGGGGTTGATTATGGTATTAGTAATACAGCTCCTACTGCTGCCGTAGGTAGGTTAAATATTAAACATTTGTTAGTACGTCAATTTAAAACAGTGTCGTAAGAAAAGAGATTAATAAAATTTTACAGTTATTAATTTAATTGAC